GACTTCATCAATGATAAGAATCTGTAGGTTGCTGTATTTGCTGCAGAGCCGTGTAAGCTGGTCATCCCCAAGGGGTGTGTATTTAGAACTGTGGATGTCACAGTGGATAGCAAAGGCAGAGTGAATGGTTTGGCCACCAATGTTGAATGCTGCAGTTCCAGTGTAAGCAACAAGTAGCACAGTCACGTCATCAGCAGTGTTTGTCAGAGGAGACAGCAGACGGTTAGCTTCATACTGGAAACCATTGATCACATGGGATTTTCCAGTGCCTGCTCCACCAGTGACAAAAACCTGAAATGGTTTGACAGTCTTTCCAGTCACTTTGTGCACACACCACTGACGCAGATGCAGAAACAGTTCTCGTTGTTTTTTGTTCATTGTTTGAAGGATGTTTAGTGCTTGGGAAGATGAGACCCGTTGTCTGGTTGTTTCAAGGAATGTTGGTCGAGCAGAAGACTATGTACTTGGAAGAGCTGCTTCCAGATCTGGGAGCTCAGGAACTTCTTCTTCATGACTGAATTGATCATCATGCTGTGGCTGTGTGTCACTTCTCTCTTCCTCGGCGCCAGGAGCAATCTCTGCCCAGCCATCTTCTAGGCGGTCACCCTGCTGCACAGCAGACCAGGCGTCATCTATTTCCTCAGTACAGTGTTCATACCTGTCCATGTTCTGAACCACGAGATGACAGATTTTGGTCACAGCTCCATTGAATTTGATATGATGACTCATGAACACCTCCTCATATGTCTCATCATCACCCTTCATCTGCTTGCCACGATGTGGCATGTACATCCTCAGTAGTGTACAGAAGTGGCGTTCACTGTCTTTTGCTTTGGAAACTTTGAGGTAGCGTATCACTGCAGGTGTCTTCCGTTTAGCGACAGCACCCATGTTGTCCTGCAACAGGATCACAGTGCTGCTGTGAGTGTCATGCTCTGTGTCACTGTGGTGATCTACGTCTCTGCTACCTGTGACAAGTCTGTATTGTGCTACAAAGTCAGCAAGACACATGTTGGTGAACAGAGCTTGGCTTGGTCGTGCCCAGTACCGGTCCAAGATGGACTTTTGGAAGACATCTGTGGTATCTTGGCCCTTCTGCTTTGCTATGTTCCTCAGAACACTCAGCGGCAGAGTCATTCTTGTGGATTGCTCATCTGCTGGGACCCAAATGATCTCTCTGCTGCAAGCTTTGAGTTTCATCCCGGTCCCCCTCCAGATGGCCTCCATGACGCTGACCTCACGATGTGTGACATAGACCTGCCCGATGGTACGAAGCTCCTTGACAGCATCCTCGTTCCCTTCTCTGGCATCTTTCTGCGCAGCCTTCAGCAGTGCACCCTCCTCGCTCTCCTTCTTACTGATATAGGAC